GGGAAGTTTTTACAATTCCCCCCCCCCGGGGAAAAACCTAAAAGGGTTGGGGGAAAAACGGGAAAAACCCGAGGCGGCCCTTTGGGCGGAAGGGAAAATTTTAAAAAAGGGGAAAAAAAATTTTCCCAGCCCCCCCCCCCCCCCCAAAAAATTTTCCTTCTTTTGGGGGCCCCATGTTCACGGTTTTACCCCTTGGGCCCCGGAAAAAAGGGGCTCCTAAAAAAACCCCCCCCCTTCTTTTGGGGGGGGGGGGTTAATTGTTTTAATTTCAAGGCCAGAAAAAAACAGAAAGCCCCCCCCCCCCCCCCCCCTTGAGGCCTGTCAATGATAATACTTGACAACACCGAAAAAGCACCGACCGCCACCGAAACCGTACACGCCTGTCGCCGTCCGTAAAAGACGCATGATGAAACGAATCGAAAAAAGAAGAAAAAAACGTTTCATCTGTACGGGTCGTGGTTGAGCCGCTGCCCGGTGACGGTGTTTCTCCACCACTTATCTCCGTCCCTGTTGTAGTAGTGAACCCATGGCCCCCCCCCCAGGTCCCCGCCGCCGCCCCCCGGTTCCTTCACGTCGAGCATGTCGGTCTCCGGGGGTAGCATCGCCGGGAAGCTGCTGGGGGAGCGGGCGACGGCAGCGGCGATGCCGGCGGCGGCGGCGGCGGCGGCGGCGGAGTCCGCGACGACCTCCTCTCCGACGTCGTCGCCGCCATCATCGCTGGTGCCGTCGCCGTCCTCCTTCTTGTCGCCGCCCCCGTCGGTGTCGTCGTCGACGACCGTGGGCGGCGGGGTTGCGGCAGCGGTGGCCGGGTCCGTCTCCCCTTCCCCGGAATCGTCTCCCTTCTTCTCCTCTTCTTCCTCCTCCTCCTCCTTCTCCTTCCCCTTCTTAGACTTCTTGCCGCCCTTCTTGTCGCCGCCGCCCGGCTTCATGCCCGGGGGCACCATTCCCCCGAAAAATCCGGACAGCCCTCCTCTTCCCCCCTCTCCGGCAGCGCTGGCGCCCCCCGCCGCCGCCGCCCCGCCGGCCGCCGCCGCCGCTCCCGCCGACCCGCCCATCCACGCCGGTAGCATCGTCGTCGGGTCGAACGGCAGCGGGACGGAGCCGCGGGCCTTGTGGCTCTTGGAGTACGGCATGACCCCGTCGGGGGGTCCGGGACCGAGCAACACCCCGGCGTCCGGCCCGTTGGGGTTGATCACGCCGTACTGCTGCTGCTGCTGCTGATACGGGAACTCCTGCTGTTCCTGGTACGCCGCCGCCGGCGGCGCCATCATCAACCCGGGCTGTGGTAGTTGCATCTGCTGCATCTGCTGCATCTGCTGCATCTGCTGCATGTACAGCATCTGCTGCTGCTGGTGCGCCGCGACCGCGTCGTACGGACCCGCGGCGGGCATCATCATCGCGGGGGCCATGACCGCAGTTCCGGGGTCCGCGCCGTAGAAGTAGGGCCCCGCCAGTTGTTGTGGAACGGCGGTCGGCACCATCACCGGCGCCGGCGCCGGTGCCGTCGGCCAGGCGTACATTCCGGCAGGCACGGTGGCGGCGGCGGCGGCGGCGGGGGCGACGGCGGGGTAGCCGTAGGTCATCATCTGCGGTTGGCCGCCGCCGCCGTTGCCGTTGGAGAGGTTGTACGTCCACTCGTTGGTAGCCGTGTTGTGCCTGGCGAAGGAAGCATCGTCGAGAAAAGAAGGGGGTTCTTGTGTCAACGCATGCGGAAGGCGTATTCTACGCTGCTGCTGCTGTATCCATGCACAACCGCGTAGCGGCATGGTGGAAAGGCGGGTGCAGGGCAACAATTGGCGTGCGAGGCCACTGGATTGCGCTGTGCCTTTCCACCCATCTTGCCGTTCTGGGCGAGCACACGACAAACAGACAAGAGATCGAACATCGAGCCGCAGCGGATGCGACTGACGACGTCCGTCATCCTACCACCGCTTTTGTTGTATCGCATCGGAAGCCGAACCTGGGGAGCTCGTAAGCACGGCAATGTGTGGCGGCGGTTACAAGCGCAACGTGACTTGTGCTCAACCAGCTGGTAGTAGCAGCGTAAGCTAAGATTGCACACAAATCATGCAAGAAAGGCCACCCCCGCCCCCCTTTCTCTAGTATCTCCGTCTTTTGTGAGTGTCTTCATCCCTCCCTACTCTTGTCGTTCTACCCCCCCCCCTCCTCGATATCTCTCAACTTCCGAATCCCTGACGCTTGGTTCAACGCCCGTGTGCGCCGTACAGAAAAAACATGGGGAGTATTCTTGGAGGACAAAAATAATGGGCACACCAGACGACCCAATATTGGCAGGGAAAAGAGAGGACGATGCTGCATGGAAAAAACAAGAAGTGTTTTTTCACACACAACAGAGACACAAGAAGGCATACAACAGAAGCAGGACAGAACAATACCGACACCTCGAGAAAAAAAAACAACAGGACAGGCAAAAGTTAAGCCGGCCCCCTTGTCCGACGCATCATCATCATCACCACCACCACCACCACCACCACCATCATCATCATCATCGTCGTCATCTCACCAGCAAGGATGGCCTTCGCGATCCTGATAAGCCATCCACGACCCGCCCTGCACAGCAGCAGCCATCATCGGATGCGCCTGCATCTCGTCGACCGCTGTTGCTGTTGTCGTGTAGCGAGAAAGAACACCTCGGGTAGCTTTTATACACCGGTCTTGGGCGGTACTGCGGGGCGAGCGGCCCCGAAACGCACAAAGAGGTGGAGACGTGAGACGAGAAAGAGGCTGCAGGGGAGGGAGGGGCGTGGGGGCTATCGAGACGAACAGAACGCGGCGGGCTGCGGCACGACGATAACAACCGTGTTGACCGTTTCGGTTTGTGTCTCGTCGTTTGGCCCCCTTTTCTTCGGTGAATAAGTAACTCCGCACCTTGTGGTCTGTATGTATGTCTACGAGGGCTTCACGTGCCAGCGGTCGCCCCGGTGGTCTAGTGGGTACCCTCGCAGCCTTCTAAGGGCCAGGTCATGGGTTCGATTCCCGGCAAAGTGAGTTATTTTTCTCACTAACTAAATCCTGGTCTAAGCTGGAAGCGACGCGCTGCAAAGCTCGTTCATGGTAAACTATTCAGATCGACTTCACAAGTCTCGAGGGAAAGGATTGCTGCACCCGTCTCGCGATAAAAATATCCCAGGCAGGAACCGCAGGAGGGGGTCCAACCTCCCCTCCTATGTGACCCCGGTTGGGTCGTCTAGCTAGTAGAAGAGGAGGATGGGGGCCAGAGGGGCAGACGACTGAGTCCAATGAAGGGAGAAAAAAATATCTATATATCTATACATGTATACTGCAGCAGCGAAGGTAACCTCGTGATCAAGTGTCATCCCGATACCGTAGGTTGCATATATTATGCTACCACACTTGCCCGATTCCGTCTGCAGCACAACCAGTGGCGGTGCCAAAAAAAACTGGCTAGCGGCGGTGGAACCGTCTGCCTCTTTCGAGAACTTGCCCGAAAACCTATCGTTTGATATATTGGAATCCTCTTCGTCGGGGATTAACCGAGGTTGAAAATCGGTTCAAGGGGTGAGGTGTCTCCCGCAACCTGCGGCAGCAGTCGCCCGCAACAAGGCGGCGGTGCGTCTGGCCGTCTCCGTTCAGGACAACTCAGTACGCTTATGCATACACTATTGGGAGCCTTGCACCGGACACGACTGTAGAAATATCTGTCTATTTCGGCACTCGCTGCCGCTGTATTCATGTGCTCACCTATGAACACAGCCCCTCCCAGCCTCCTCTTTTATCCTACACATACTTATGATTTAACACAAGAAACCCATCTCTCCTCCACAGACAAAAAGAGTGTGGGGATAAGTTGGCATTGAATCCATCGCCGAAGCTTTCAACGCAACGCTGCTCGTAGCGTGTGTGACTCATCGATGATCACCCCCGTTGGGGAGGAATATCATATGTTTTGTCCGGACCTGCTTGTAAATCTGTGTGCTCATACCTGACGGCATGCCCGCGCTGCCTTCGACTACAGCGGCACGGTCGCAGCAGCAGTGGTTCAATGCTAGAACTGCTGTGGGTATGTCTCGAATGGGTAGTCTCTGTGTGCGTGTATTTATTTTCCCTTAAATGCTAGGGCTGCTGTGGTCGGAAAAACTTAGACTTACGTGCGCTCGGGAAGGAGACTTCAAGTACTGAGTGGTCTACCGTAAGCCTGATATTGCGGGCTGACGCGATGTTTCGAAGTGAGCCGGCCGGACAACCGGTTGTTTATCGTATGCATATTCCTATTTTCTCTTTTCTAGAAAACCTATACCAGTACAGCAGCCCGTTCTATAGCACCCAACACCGACAGCAGGGATTGTGTGGAAGTCTGTCCAGCAATGAGCGGGAGAGAAAAAACACCGGCTCGGCTGGATATACGGCTCCTGCTGGGCGTTGGTCTGTTTTTTATTTCGTCGGTGTTGACGACGGAGAGCGACGTGTAGCCTTTACCACCAACACAAGTTTTGTGCTTGCGGTCCGCTGCCGAGCGCTCCTTCTTCGTTCTGCGTAACACGCTGCTGGGAATTCTTGCTCGGCCAGCCGTATACATCACTTGCATCAAGGGGGGGAGCAAGCTAAGGTACGCGCGAACATCTCTTGCTCACAAAACCTGTCGAAAAAACGGACACAGCAGACCGTGTTGTATGACGACAGCGGGTACCCCAAATGACCGGTAAACCGGCAACATGCAGCCATTTCGCTGTTTCTCACCTGCTCGCTGTTTGCTGTTTGACGCCTGCTGATGATGCTGAGTATCAGGAGGCGTGTGCTGCCTCCCCCGCGGTTGAACCCGGCTCAAAACTTCCTCCGTGAACCAGGACCGTTCAGCTGTGTACAGCAGTAGTGTTCCAAGTTTGCAGCTGCAGTGCAGTTACACGGACGATGACAGCCGGAAGTTGCGAAACCTTGTTCGGGGAACCAGGGACAGCATGCAGCCCGTGAGGCCTCTCTTTCTCTCTCTGTCTCTGCTCTCCCTCCCTGTCGCGAAACGTTTTCGTTGCTTCGTGCCGACTGCTGTGCGTGTGCCCTCCCGTTCAGGGGCAACGCGCGCACTTCTCGCAGAGCGCGAATACACCACACGAGGAAACAACTTGTTGTCTCGTCTAAACACAGGCCGGTGTGTGCGCGCCAATGCGGAGCAGAGAGTCTGCTGAAATGGTTGACAGCGGCAACGGGGCGGCGGCTTTTTTTTCTGCGGGTCCCACGTGAACGTCCACGGACTGCTGTGATTGGTCCAATTTTCACAGTTTTTTTTCCAAGCTGGCTTGCCCTCTCCTTCATCGGGACTGGCGTGCGAGACAGCACTAGACAGCAGTAGGACACAGTGCACAACCGGATGTGGGGGAGTGGGTCCCAGTCGCCGCTGGGCTTCAGCCAGAGCCAGGGAGGAGGAGGCCTGTATGGCGGGGCCTACTCCCAGGCTTCCGGGTTCGGGAGCCAGAGCCAGCAGACGCAACCGTTTGACCTCAGCCAGAGCGTCTTCGGAGCGAGCCAGAGCCAGAGCCAGGTCGGCAGCCAGCCCGCTGCACCCGAGTGCACGGAGTGCCATTCGACCGAGATGTTCACCACGGATGACGGGGACATGGTGAGCTGCTGGTCCACCTCGTTGCTCTGTTTTTTTGTCCTGCAAGTGTGTTTGCGTTTGTTGGTGTGCCGCTGTATGCATGGCAGACGGCGGTGCCTTGAGGCAGTTCTACCACCAGCATCGGTGAAGGTGGCTGTTCGAGATCCCTCCCTGTACACCAGCATCACGCACGTTTCCTGCTACTTCTCGGCTGTTGCTATGGCTGTGCATAAAATTAGCATCTAGGAGCACCCGTTGCGACGCAATGATTGATGTCGACGTTGTCTGACCCCCCCCCTCCCTCTTTCGCTCCGTTCCTGTGTGGGGCGACAGTATTCTAATTGCTTTATCTCTGAAGTGTCTCAATCTGTCGCCAAGCACAGGCGAGGCTCCCATCAAGCATCAAAGATCACAGTGCTTGGTGACTGGTCCCCACCATAAGACCAATCACACCCCGCCCTAGACTGCGGGATGCGCCCGGTGCTCCTACGGCACAAGGAAGTCCGTTCCGGCTGCCATGCGTGCGTGGTGCCCCTGCACGGCGATGAAACGACTGCAGCCGCCGTATATATGCACCCTCCAGCCGGTGTGTGTATCTGCATGCCCAGACAGAGAACATGTGGCTGCCGTCCCTGCCGCAGATATACGTACGCCATGTCTTTCGCCTTACACACGGAGGTACAGCAAACACAAATCTGGATGTTATTGTATCTCAAATATATCTGTAAACCGCGTCTTTCCTTTTTTTGGCCTCCTTCTTACCCCCCCCCCCCAAAAAAAAACACTTGACGAACGAAAAGGTATGCGCGACGTGCGGCACCGCCTACGAGGGCAACGTGAACGAGGTGGTGGAGATGGAGAACAACATGCTCATCGGCATCAACAGGCGTCGCATCAAGAGGGACAAGGTATCTATCCCGGTGTAAAGCTTACCCACTGCGAGATGCTGGCGCATACGAGGAGTTCGTAGGGAACGATAGGTGTAATACAAATACACGTGTCTCAATCAATCGATCAAGCAATCAATGAATCAATCAAGGAATAGTCAGCTATCAACAGGGATGACAACGTGAACGCATACTCGTTCCGGTCTGTCACCTACAGTGGTTCACCTACAGTAGTGGCGGGCCGGGTTTATCGACCGCTACTGTCAGGTCAGGAGGGAACGTGTCCGCTATTCAGCGCAGGTCCCCAAGCCGGTACAGTAGCGGCTATTTTAGTCGGTGTGTAGCGGTACCAGTCACACGACTTGATTGGTCGCTGCACATACAGGACGTGCCGCTAGAAAGGGGGTCGCAGACCCGGGCCCACCAATGCTGTACCTGCGTTACACTTCACGCCCTCATCGCATCCTTGCGCGCCCTTCCGCACACATCCGCTGCTGCTGGTGCTGTTGTTGCCGCCTCCCCCTCCGTTGGTGTTGCGGGGGCCAACGCGCGGCCGGCCGCTATTATTGCACGTTGGATGCACCCGCTCAGACGCCGGTGGGACCTAGGCTTGATGCCAAAGGCCGGATCGTGAGCTTCGCCGACACCCGGTACTGCCTGCGGGCGTTCCAGATAATCTTCCTCCGGCATGTCAAGGTCATTGGGGTGTTTCCCTCTGCGGTGCCTGCCTCTCGGTCATTCGGGCGGCCAGAAAAGTTTGTCTTTCAAGGCGGACTATTGTATTATAGTATAGCACCGCCGTCCCTACCGCCACCGGTACACCGGACTGCCTACGCAAAGAAGCTAAGTTTAGAGCTCGAAGAAAGACCAGGCAGGGGGGGTACGCAGACCCTACACCTAACCCCCCAACCCCAGCTTGGCCGATTCTATACTTCATCCAGTATGTTTACCTACTTTGAAAACCTGCGTAGACTACTTACTGGTATATACAACTCTCCGCCTACAAGTTAGTTTTTGTCACAAATGTTTTGGGTGTGCTTTCGAGCCAGGCGTTCTGCTCCGCGGCGGCGTTGTCGAGAGATGCGACGGCCGAGATGAGGCGGGTGTCTTCCGACGTATGGTTCTCCTACCTCGAGCGCTTCACGCTGCCCGAGGCATGCGGAAACGGCGGCATTCGCGTCAGGGACGATTTCAGGTGGGGGTTAACCATCTATCCTCTTTCTCTCTCTCTCTCTCTCTCTCTCTCTCTCTCTCTCTCTCTCTCTCTCTCTCTCTCTCTCTCTCTCCTCTCTCTCTCGGGTACGTGATACCCACCAGAGTAGACAAACTGGCGATGTCACATGAATACAAAAAAAACATCAAAGACGAAGAAGGTCGGTGCCACGGAATTGATGTTGTCTTCGTTCTGCTTTCACGGCGTTGAGTTCCACCCGCGAACAACCATGGCAAGCGCAAGATACGCGCGCGTCGTGTTCTTTTGGTGATACGAGCCACTTCGGCATGGGAGAAGAGAAAACGCCAAGTTCTTCACCCGCGAATCCCCCCCCACCCGACAAACGCCTGCGCACGTTCGTACACAACCTTTGTCTACGCGTAATAAATACATCAGGACCGGCCTTGACAAAGGAGAGATCAAGGCTCGATTCGCGAAAGAAACCGGCGGGGGGGGCAGCGGCGTTGATGCCGGCGGCGTCGAAGGCGAGGGTCACGACAGCGGCACAGGCAACGAGGGCGGGGGCGGGTGGCGGGCGCGAGCGATGGGGCCGGTCAACGTGGACGAGCGGGAGATGGAGGCCTACTTCCGACGCACCGGGGACTGGCAGAGGACCGTCGGCACGGCGAGGGCTAACCCGGGCTACTCCTTGGTGAGTTCGGCACACCGTACCTTTAGCGGCGTTCGTCCCCACACGAGTACAGAAGGCGCCCGCACTCAAGAACCTCTAGTTTTGGGGTTTTTACCGTATTCCTAGGGTCATGCTTCGAATGGCTATATAGGTTTTAGTATAGGGGTTGTTACCTGAGCTCTCAAATGGTGCTCAGTTTCTCGGGTTTTGAGTTTTATTAGGCTATGTCAATTTCTTGACTGCGTTCTGTAGTATGGTAGGGCGGGGTCTACGCGGGCACTTGTTGGCGAGCGGGAGGTGCTGCAGCGGCCTGCCGCCACCATGCCCGAGATACACATACAACAGATGGATATTTTTTTTGTTACGTCGAGCAGCATGGCGTTGTTGGTCGTTGGGTGGTGTGACGATGGAACGTTCGAGAGAGCGTGTGTAAGATTCCGCGCCTCCTGGACCTTTTTGTCAAAGCTCGACTAGTCTGCAGCAACGGTACAGGGAATGAATGCGTTGGAACCGTAATTTACTGTCGGGAGCGGTTCGAAAAACGTGTCATTGGGTTGTGGCATCGTCTTCGGCGTGGAATAACCAATCTTTGTCACAACCGGTCAAGGGGGGTGTGGTATCTTACGTCACACCTACGATGGCCACCGTACCACCAACAGCGGCAGGGCTCGTTCGCAGAGCAGCTGTGTGTCGCTTTCGTGTGCACGCGCCGCCATCTTCTCTCGCCCGTGCTTCCTGTACTCACATGCTTCCATCGTGTCGGTGCTCCCTCAATCGACTACCAGCTGCATTTTTAATCGCGCCATGAGAGTTGGCGCACTCCGGTTTGACTGGACATGAAATGTCTTGATGATCTTTGCGACTTGTCGCTCATAAACCCCCCCCCCCCCCCTTCCCTTATTGCAAC